TATATATATATATATATTTGTTTGTTGGTTTGTGTGTGTCTGTTTTCTCTATCTCACTTTCTCCCTGTCTATTTTTCTATCTATTTATCTACATACCTGCCTGTCAGTCTCTCTGTTTTCTTCTCCTCTTGTTTTCTTTTTGTTCTGCAGTTATCAAAAAACATTTTGTATCCAGGTATTTCAATTCATCCTTTTTTCCGATAGTTTCGTTTTCGAATCTGTAGTTTGTTTATTGTTCACACTGACATTTTTGGTTCTTTTTTCAACTTGTTCAGAAATATCGAAACAAATAACCAATATGAAAAAATTAATTAAATTATAACTTAATATCAAAATAGATAAGGATTCACTAATTATTCCAATAAATATCAATCAGGTCAAAGGATAAACTGGTTAATTTGTTAATTAAGTTAATAAATTAATTAGATAATTAAATATAATTTGTTGAGATATGTTTTGTTAATTAAATCACTTTCTTCTTCACTTTAATGAATAGATCTCATTGAGATCCCTTGATAATCTGTACTTGTCTTCTTTTTCTATATTTCGTTTTAGCTCAGTTTTCAGTTGAAGAAAAGCTGCAGCAACTGCTTAGCCTAAAATAATACATTACAAAACCAATTATCATGATGATTGTTGAGTTTAGTTTCCATTGTACGTTGGAAGAGATATTAAATCACAATGAATAAAAATTAAAAAAAAAATAAAAATGAGGACATTTTAAGTAAGAAAAAATAAGATTGAAAACCATCTTCCTAAATAATAATAAAAAATTGGGAATATTCCGCGATGGAGGAAAATGTCAGAATGTTATGCAATATCAACTTGTCAAACCTCATGTTCATTTTAAAGGGGAGAGGAATGGAACAACAAGAGTGTCAATAAAAGTTTTCAGAATGTAGAATGGCAATTCCATAATGGTCGGGCTAAAGTGGAAGTTAATAATCGCCCTACGTACAACATTTTGGTCTCTTAGAAAACAATATTGACCCTTAAACCGCAAAATCAATAAAAATGTGAAAACGAAGAGAAATAGAAAGGAATCAATATTTGTATGTGGTGGCTGAGTCATCATGGCAAATTGGAATAAATTTTTTTACACGTCATATGTCTTTAGAATAATACAATTTCACTGTAATAAAATAAAATTACCATCAATAAAATAGTACTATGTTAAGCAAATAATGAAGGGAAGCTTTCGGTACGTTCAACTTGGACACAGGCGTTAAGGAAGAATGCATCATGTTACTCATTTTCTTCATCCTGAAATTGGATGTATTGATGCGCTCTTCCCTCGAAAGATTTAAGACTTTGATCCTGCCGAATTCATCTGGCTCTTGGCGGCAAGGATGAACGCTTGCAAGCCAAAATAACGGCCAATAAAACAAAAGAAGTGAACATAAATCCTAGAACGGATAGCCCGCTGATGCTTGAAGACAACTTTGAAGCATTTGATTACTTAGCATTTAATACTTAAGGTACTGAGGATAATGGGAAGAGTAGAATTAGAAAAGTCAATTGTGTATTTATACAATATATCCGCTATTGGCTCTTCAACATTAATGTTAAGTCCGTCTTCTTATATGGCTTTGAGACTTACAAGTCTCCAAAACCGTGAAGACCAGGTTGCTGTGAACCGCTGCCTACGGCGGATTCTCGCAATATTGCGGCCTGACCAAATAAGAAATGCGGAGCTGTGGAAAAATACAGCCAGCTTCCCGTACATGCTGAAGTATGAAAAGAAAATGAAAATGGATAGGACATGCACTGGGAAAAAGGGATGGCGCCGTCGAGAAAAGTGGAATGGAATTCGCTAGGGCGACCCAAAATACCCAACCGCAAACGTGGAGACGCTCACGTGGAAAGGGACCTAGGACAGCCAGGAAGTGGTGTAGACAGGGTGGAAGAACTAGCATTAAAAAAACTTAATAAGAGCAGGTCAACTATAAACAATGTTTATGGAAAGATCTAAATAGTGTACAAATGAGAGCAGTGGTATTGTATCAAAAATTACTATACATTTCGTTTCAAATAAGGAGAGGATTGCATAATGCATCATAACGCATTAGGGATTAACGTCCAAATACCAACTTTGCAATACATTTTTTATACCATTATCATTTAAATAAACCATGGGCTTTGTAAGGATTTTAACCCAGGAAAGTTAGCCTGGCAAATACGAGTCAACCAACCCTAAGCGCTCAGCCACCTTTCCATTAAATCCAAAGAAAAGCAATATATTAATTGGCCAACACGCCAACTTTTATTTATCGTTGAGAAGTGGAGATGAGAAATGAGCTCAGAAAAATTCACCCCCACAGATTTTTTTTTCGATTTGAAATAAATTTACATAGAACTCACTCCATTATGTTTCAGGGGATGTGGCGGGGCACTATTTTATTCTATTAATAATTGATCTATTTGATCCCTAATGTAAATATAAAGGTTTTATCAATATTGTGCTCGTGTAAAATTACAAAAAACCCACAAAAATAGGATATCAGCAAAATGAAATTAGGTACATATTGAATTACTTAGATTTAGCGATGTTAGAAGAGTAAATTATATGTCCAAATATAATAACAACATAAAAATAATAAAATATAACAGTAACTTGGCATAATAAATAGGATAGTCAATTTAAGTTTAATCGAATTAAATAAATAAGTAAATAATTGAATAAATAAATAAATAAAAAACAAATGAGATAAATACATTTATAAACTAAAAGATTGTACATTTATATACACGTTTGTATACATAATTTACAATCGAATTAAATAAATAAGTAAATAATTGAATAAATAAATAAATAAAAAACAAATGAGATAAATACATTTATAAACTAAAAGATTGTACATTTATATACACGTTTGTATACATAATTTACAAAATTGAAGTGTGTATAGACGAACACACATACACATCTTTACCAATCTATTAAGCTGAATATTAGATTAATATATGTTTTATTCTCCTGTGCTTCCAAATGGTATTCGTAGGAAACCTTCCAATTTCTTGGCATGTAAGATTTCTATGCTCCATCAGTTTATTGATAAAGTTTTCAGGGAGCCGTTTAGCTTCGTCGTGTAACAATCTCATGTATGTACTCTGATGGAGGAGGTTAAATTTAGTGCGGCGGCTCGAAGTGATTACAAAATTAAATAATTTAGACTACAACAGGATAGTTTTTAAGAAATATTGTCCACGAATTAACTCGTATTGAATTAAATGAAATTTACTCAAATCGAGCTGATAAAAACTGCAGCCTTCTGGCTTATTGTACCTTCCATGTCCTTAGTTCAGTGCAGTAGACTTAATCCATCTCTTCAGAACTGTCGCTGCTACAACTTCCTTCCCGAAGTTTTTTCGTATGTTATGTTAAATCTCCATTTAGTTGTTCCTTCGCATTCTAAGACGATATGGGTGGCTTTCCTCTCCTCATTGCAGATGGGGCCATCGTTATATATGCCCATGTTGTGTAGATGTTTTCTCGGTTGCCAGTGACCGGTTAGTAGTCCTACCACTCCTCTGAGTTTGGCCCTCTCCAGTTGCATCAGTGATTTTACCAGTCTTTGTGAGGGGTGTTTCATCATAAGTTTACTACGACAAGCACAGCTACAGTTTATCCACTTCTCCTTTTCTTTTGTTTGGATCCATTCTGCGATGGAGGATTCTATATTTGCTTTTGTAATCCCTAGTACAGAGAGGTCTTGCAGATTCTCCCATAGCCAGTCTGTCTGCGTTCTCCTTGCCCAAAATTTCTCTGTGCCCTGGCACCCAAGATATCATCAAGTTATCGTGTTTCCCCAGGTTTTGGAGATTTTGTATGCATTCACTGACTAATTTTGATGTGTTTCTTTTACATGCTAATCCTTTAATGGCTGCTTGGCTATCTGATCTTATGAGGTTTGTTTTGCCAGTATAACCTCTTTTAAGATTTTCCAGGGCACAAGCATTGATGGCATGTATTTCTGCGTGAAAGACCGAAGTGAGTCTCTCCCCCCTCAAAACCCTAATGAGTTTGATTGCTCATGTTTTGGAGTTATGCAGTAAATGCCCGATCCGGTTTCTTCGTTTGTTTTTGACCCTTCTGTATACAATATCATTGTATCTGATGCTCTCCTGTGTTCTTCCTCTCCTTTATAGTCCGTTGAGACTTTATAGGATGTTGTGAAGGGGGTGGGATCAAATCTTAGTGTACCAATGGGTTTATTAGAATATGTATATATAATTTTTTTAAATAATGGTCATAACACCTCGGGGTTCGAAGTGTCAGAATTTTTGATTTGAAACCAGGACCTTTACCTTACAGGAGAGCGCTGTGGCTGTGAAAATGCCTAAACCATTGCGTCCAACCCTGATCTATAATGTTAAATATCACTTAATTATTAATTAATTATATATATAATTTTTTAAATTAATAGTCGGTTTAGTAAGAACATTTCTAATAAATAAAAGGAAAAAAGGGATACATTTTGAAACAAATTATGACGTGTAACGTTGTTTAAATTGTTTGTAAATTTGACTTTTTGTCCATCAGCTTTATTAACATGAGCTACTACGTTAGATTAGATCAATTTAATAAAAGAAGGGTAGTAAATGTATACAAGTATATAAATGTTCAACCTAGGTGGCTTATACTGTCCGTTGTGGTAGTCGAAATGAAGGGGCGAAACTGCGGTCGGACCTCGAAAAAATAAACGCTAGGACAAACGTCAAAGAGCTCTTTGTGGTAGCAGCCGGTGCTCGGACTTTCCCCGTTCCCCGGGGCAAGGTGAGAATCACTTTTTGCGGTCCGGTTGGCACCGAGGATCGGCCTAATTTGATGAGGAATCCTCACACAACCCAGACCGTATCTCAAAAGGCGAGGCTGCGATCGGAAAGAAATTAATTAAACAAATCCTCTGAGCTTTTGGTCGGCCTTGCGACGTAGTGGGGGCAACGCCTGCGCTGGGGTGGATTTGCCGGGGGTTGAAATCAGTCAGTTACTAGCCGGCAGTAGCAAAGAACGTAGCACCACTTTCGCCAGTAGATCACATGTAGCTCGCCAACTCTTTCGTCTAGGAGTGGATTAGTGACTCGAAGTGTATTTTCTACGTCTACTGTTCGAAAAAGATATGACCTTCCTAGGTGTCGGATATAACAACATCTGTAAGTTTCACCTTTTCTCTACTTACTACTCACTTCCAACCGTTCTGTGAACACATTTCTATTTCGTCATTTGTATAATCTGTATTCTTTTTAAATATAAATAAACTTACATAAAGCGAATACATTTAGGTCCATGATTTTACGATACTTTGCCAACTACACATTTCTAAATATTTATAAGGAAATAAAAAAATATTAAATATGTACCGTTGAACGATTAAACAACTTCGTGATAAATAAATAATACAATTAGGAATTTTAAGATTTTATGTTTACTGTGATACAACTGTTGAATAAGTTTTGAAACTCCTGTGACTAGATGATAAAGTATGAACGCCCAATATATTTAATAATTAATTAGATATGGTATTACTATTATTGTATTAGGTATTTTATAGTCACGTTTTTTTAAGTTGTACAGCAATTATAATTTCACTACTGTAGACGATTATTACAATATTAATCCTGATTTAGGTATACAAACTATTACTTTTTCATGCAACCCATAGATAACAATATACCACTAAGAGATTCCACGTGAATTTGATTTTATAAAAATTGTAATATATTTTTATTCTAATTTTCCGGGTTTAACTATGTCCATTAATATAACTTATGGACTATTAATAAACACTCAATATTTAAAAAAAATACAAACTTTTTTATTTTTTCCTCACTTTCACATATTACTAGCAAACAGTAAAAAAAAAGATAATCATTTTGTGTGGTGATTAGTGACCGTTAATCGATAATTATTCAGAAATCGTGAGATGCGGTCTGGTGAGATAGGTTTCAGAAAAACATTTTCTTTGTCGTGCCAACGTTTCAATCTTTATTGAGATCATCTTCAGTGCCTGGGATTTACAAACATTGTTTTCATTTAACAAATACATTTAGGATGTGGAAAAGTGAATTTATACAATACAAAATATACAGATATATACATTTTTTTAAATTCAATCAAAGTATTTCTACTCACTCAAAGTGTTTGTCTTCTGTGTAATTGTGCCATTCTTGCATGACGTGTTGGGAGTGCCAGTGAGATTTTGCTGTTTATGTTTATATATGTTGGATTTTGAAAAAAATTTTTTTTTGCATTATGTATAAATTCACTTTTCCACATCCTAAATGTATTTGTTAAATGTAAACAATGTTTGTAAATCCCAGGACCTGAAGATGATCTCAATAAAGATCGAAACGTTGGCACGATAAAGGAAATGTTTTTCTGAAACCTACATCACACCAGACCGCATCTCACGATTTCTGATTAATCAATGATAATCATTATTTTGATTATTCAATATGTAATTGTAGGTTGAACTTAAAGTTTAAATAAAACTAATAATATAATAATAATTTCATCTTTTATTTTTACTCTTGTGTTGGATAGACTTTGAGAAGACACGTGACACTGGTGAAGCATTTCTAATTATATTTTACTTTAATGTTCAACGAACAAAACAGGATTATCCCTTGTAATTCCCGTTCGTGTTTTTTCTTAATAAATAATATTTCATACTTGTAATATAATACTTCAAGCCATACGAGTAAATGTACATTTGCTAAATTGGAACACTGTACACCAAAGTAATTATATAAAACTATAATTCTAGCTCAATTAGCCGAATGAAAGTGCTTTTTGTTTACACTTGAACACACTAAACTCAAATTGCTATTGGCCGATTTACGAGGCACGTCTGTAAAATACATTTTCAACTGGCGCCGTTAAGCCAACGGTGTTAGAAGGTCTGAAATTGTACAATTCTAGAAAATATAGTATATTTTTAACTAACTGACTTGCTGAAAAACAGTATCTCAATTACTGACCTTTATTCCAGTAGGTCTTGAAAAATCTTACTCCTTCCGGTCGGTGTAAAAGCAATACGTGAACTTAAAATTATTTTATTTCTTCAAAAAGTTGGATTACATAACTGATAGATCAGGGTTGATAATTGTCAAGGATTTGATTTTTAAATTAAAGAACAATTCAGATGTTAAATATGGGATGGTGTTTCATTTCCGAAGAATATACATGTAACTGCTATACTTTAATATATTAAAAATATATTTTTATAATAGATTGAATCAACATTTCAAATTTTTTTTTAGAAAAAATAATCAATTTTTTTGTAATGACCAGGTGCGTGTACCACACCTTTACACAATGATTAAAACATATTATCAGGATTCATTTTTCGCGTAAAAATGTCGCTAAAGGATTTTAAATTGGCTAAAAATACTAAAGCCTTGACGATAGTTGTGAGAATCGTCACAGAAAATATCACAATTATCACAGAAAATATATTCAAATACTTTCTTACATCTCTAACGAGAGTCTTCTTGGGGTTTTCAAGAATTAAGGGATTTTTGATAAATCTTTCGAATCAGCAATTTAATTCCGGAATGTTGTTGTTTTCGGAATGTTCATATTTTTATAAGGATATGGAGGAAATGATTTAGAAGATCTTATGAAAATAATATTGTAAGTAATTGGCCAAACTGTCTCACGTTTTATCTTGTTTGGCTAGTTATCTCAAATGATTAATCTTGTTAAAGAGCTCAATTGTCAGATAATAGACTAAACCCGCGCGACTTGCGAGTATTGCGGAAGTGTTGCTCTTTGCGCCGTGAAGCAATATAAACATTTTTCGTTTTTAACCTAAGACTGATCGCTATTTTATATTATTCTAAATATTTATTCCTCCAATTTTTTTTTGAGCCACTCTTACAGTTTGCCAAAGTGTGTTACAAGTGAGGTTTTAAATACTGTCGGTGGAAACCATAGTTAGACAAATTATACCCGCAACACAAATTTAAAAAATAAAGAAGAGGTTACCATATTTATAATTATATTTGCAACGTAATAATTAACCCCTAAGATAAAATATTATTAAATGAACTCCAATGTAAATGTTGGATAATAATAATAATGCTACAAGATAAAAAATCTAAATACTTAAAAATGTTAATAAAGAAAATACATGTGAGATAAAATCTCATGAGCGACCAACAATGTAACAGCGTGTAGCTTAGCGAACACACGCGGGTTTCTGACAAAAGTAGAAAAAGCTCTTTTCTGGGGACTAAAGAAACTTTGATAACTCCGTCATATCAGCTCTACGATTATTTTAGTAGGCAAATGATCTCCGGAGTGTTCAGAACCAGCCTAGTCTGTGCTGATGGTTGGAGGCCTAGGAATCCCGAACTCACGAGAGCAACTTAAACTCAGTGACGCGGCCGGGTTCTTGGCCAAGCCCGGGCACCCATTGGCTAGGACGATCGTCAAGTGCCCGTACAGAGTTGTCTACGTTAGGTTTCGCTCCCGGATGCGATCGTTCGGAATTCGCTTCTGTGAAGACTTAGGGAGAGCTGGACTGGCGCTGGGGGCAGTATTTCAGCTGGGCTACAAACCGATACACCCTGGATCTTCCGACCGTACTCGTGGCGAAATTGCCCAAGTCGGGTGTGTACCACCAAGTTTTTCTTTGAACTTAGAAATAGATACGCCTATTTTCGTCTGATTTTTACAGACGGGTCCGAGATCGGCGACGATGTGGAATGTGCCGTGTATATCGTGGGAGTAGCTACCTTCTGGACATTGCCCTTTCATTGCAGAGTAGACACGGCGTAATTGTACCCGATTTGATGGATGGCTTTTGGGGGCGGTGCAATCCTAGGAAAGCTTTACGTTTAGGCTTTACGAAACAGGTTCCATGCGAACCCACTCGGCGTTCTCTTATTAGAAAAATACATCAAGTTCGGAAAAACGGTTTATAGTCTTGATCCCTGAACACTTGATCTGGAGGGTAACAAACGTGCGAACGAGGCGACGAAAACCGGAACGTGTCACCCTATGGACCGGTCCGATCAGGACTTCTGACACTAAGCGAGCGGTTAAGAACATGACAAAAGAAGGATGACAGCGTTAGTGGAAGAGGTCGTTTGGGAACTATAATTACAATATTTATAAAAGTACCCTATCGACTCTTTAAAAGTACCTATAAAATACCTAAAAAAGTACCTTATCGACGATTTTAGATTAGAATATTAACACCGTGTGTAGGTCACTTGAGGAATATCAAGTATTCATGTAAAATGTATTTATTTGTGCGACTGACTTGTAGAATTTAATTCGTATTTGGCTGGACTATAGTATCCGTTTGCGGCTGAAATGACCTAGCTGTCGACAGCCCCAATCGGAGACTAACCCCTTTGGTTGGGAAGCGTCGATCTCCTGGGCATATGGCTTCGAGGGCTTACTAGTGACCCGGCACATAACGGGGTAGGTGAACTCCCCGTAGAGACCTTTGGAGCGAACTGGGAGTGTAAACCCTTCGGAGTGAAAATCCAATAGTTACATGAGTTTACGTAGAAACTTTTTTATAAAAAATCTCTTTAAAAAATACTGTATTTACATAACTGGAGAAGCTGTTTCATGATTTATCTAGTTTTCTAGTTTATCGTAAGTTAAATTGTGTTAAACAGCACCAAGCTGTCAAATTTGCAATGTAGCGTAAACTCGCCCGACTCGCCTGTATTGCGGAAGTGTTGGCCTTGTGCGCCGTGAATCAAACCTGTTATAAAGTTAATTAATTATCCAGCTTATCATTTTTATTAACATTATTCACTTCTAAATATATATACACTAAATATATNCAAAAGTTGAGGTTGAGGTGGGAAATTAGTGTCCGAGTGATCGTGGTCACGATAGCTCATGTGGTAGAGCAGCGGCGTATCTAGCCGAAGATCGTGGGTTCGAATCCCGCTCGTGCCATTGACTTTTTTATCTCAATTAAAAACCTCAATTAAATGTAATATAAGGCTTACTATTTTATGTATGTTCATAACTTTGTATTACAAAATCGACGATAAAACCAATTTTGAAGGAAAGAAATCAGTTTTCGCGTCATGCTTTCGACAAATGTATTACCGTCTTTAGGATTTTAAAAATATCATTAATATCTCACAAAGTTACTAAATCTAAATATATACTGAAAAGA